AGAGAGAGAGAGAGAGAGAGAGAGAGAGAGAGAGATGAGTGGGAGCACCAGCAGCGCCGTATGACCTACAGTGCAGCCTCTCTATAATGACCTTCGATATAACGACATCCTCCGTACAGCGACATGGTGCCCAGGGCCCGCTTTTTCCTTATTATGTAAATACCATTAGTGATTTTTGGTTGACTCTCTGTAACGACAACTCTCATTTTAAACGACATTTTTTTCTGGTCCCAACGAATGATGTTGTAATAGAGAGGCTGCACTGTTGTAGGCCTACTTCATCATATGCTCATCCCAAAGTTGACAACTACTTTGAGGTTTGACAGTACTAGTCTCTGGTACTTTAATCCAAACACTGCCCTAAGTTGACGAAACACCAATTTTCCATTTCTGGAGGCAATTTTTTTTATACATTTGCTAAATCGATATTCGGATAAGTTATATCCTACTTCTTGGGTGAAAAATTCATCAAAGTGAAATTGTGACTAGTTTTTTTATTTTATTTAGAAAATTCAATTTTAGAAGAAGCCTTTTAAAATGATTACGCTGTCAAAAAGCCATTTATCTCGAAACTGCAGTGAGATAAGAAAAAAGGCATAAATTGTCAGCATTGGCAGAACACCCATTTTATGAGAATTCCTGAGTGTAAAAAACATAATATAAATGAATCCAAAGTTAATGTTTATCCTTTTGTTTTTCGATATTTAAATAACATTTTAAAATATTTAATTGTCTGCTAGGTTTAGATCTCTATCCAGTGGCAGTGGGTGGGGCTTAGGTTGCTTCCAGTTCTTTACCACCAAATAGCAAGCAATAAGAACTAAACAGTGGTGATTTTCCTATACTCACGGTGAGCCACGGCAGTTTGAGAACCATAATTCAAGTCAAACGAGAAGAGTTGCCTTTGTTTTTCATCTCTTTGTTCTTAGTTTTAAAATTCTGTTGATGGTGGGGACAAAGCTGTTTGTTTCACCTCCAAATTTTCTCTAATTAGTTTTCGTGTGATGAAAAAGTTGCCTTAAAAGTAGTTCGACCTGATTTATATAAATGTTAAGTCTCAGCGGCACAAACACAAACATGCACACACAGCACTTCAAACATAATACATACTTCTATGAGCTGGATTAGGCCGTGTAGTCGAGAAAGGTGAACGCACCCAACAAACAACCAATGAGCGCAAAGGTATCTGTGTCAGTGGGGGAAAGTGTGTTGTAAACTTTCACCCCATTGTCAGGGTTAGGAGAGCGTGAGCCCTCGGTACAGTGTTATTTTTTCCCAGTCTTCTACCTTTTTACAAGAATAGTTTCATTAAGGACGGGCAGTGGGAAAAGGGCTCATCTTCTCTGAGCCCTATAGACATTTGATTGGCTGCTCGGTTACTATAGTTGTAAGCGGTGACAACAGTGATTGGATAAGCGAGCAAGCCGCCAAGTTGATCACGCTGTGTTCATTGCGTTCGCTCATAATGGTTTCAAGTGCTTATAATTTCATTACGGAGAAACTTTCATTTACTTTGGGATAGAGTTGGGGGTGGTGGGTGGGGAGGGGGTAGGGGCTCAAGCCCGTGAGCTCTTCACTACCCACCGCTACTGTCTCTAGATCTAGATTATATTCTCATTTCTCTGCAACACCAAAAAATAATGAAAAGATGAGAGCAAATAATGTTGGTAACATCTCTGAGATTCTTCCACTTTTTTATTTTTTATTTATAATTAGTGTGCCTTTATGTGTTTTTTCCCCATTCATGCATATATTATACAATGCAGATTCCTTTGTAAAGTGGAACACCTGTTTCAGAGGTTTTGCTGAGGTACGTACCTTTGAAACCAGTCGCTACTTTCTTCCATGACGGGGCAAAATGTATACAATGGCCACACCAACTGTTATAAAACTCCACCACCCAAAATTTGGATGGTTTGCCGTTGACTAATTCACTCTGAAATGTTTTCTCATTTAGAGGAATCACATCGTCAGTATCTGTTGAATATAATCCATCTTTGAAACCAGCTGTCAGTTCAACAGTCAATGAGAGCGACAAAATTAATATCACCAGAGTGTCCAAGTCAAAAGCCACAGCAGCTGTCGCCCGAAATTTCCCCATCATTAACTTGAGTATCACTGTGCTACGCAGTGCATAAAAGCATAAACGGGGAACAAAGTAAAAGGATGGTTCGCTTAACACCAATTTAGGTTTAAAATAAGTTAAATCACATTGTGCAGGTGATTGTGACCGATGACACGTACGTTTCCTTCCAAACAAAAAAAAACAAATCCTCACAAATTCGTTTTCGAACACACGTCCGGGTTGACAATTTACATTTTCCGTACCTGAGCTTTTCTTCCTTTCAGAAATGAAGACACATTTTCCTTTACTATTTCTAGCAGTCATGTGACGTTCTGGAGTTCAGAGGTCCAGTTTGTTTTGATTTCGCCCCTTAAATGTTCACACAGTCACACAGTGGCCGGTGGCCTGCCTTCAGACTTAAGTTAGGTGTAGAGTTCGGACGATCGGATCGTTCCTGGACTTGCTTGCGCAAATAACCTTTCGGACATTCGGACTACAGTACTGAACGACTAAATCACACTATGGCTTTGAAAGGTCGGATAGATCTAGATATCTAGATTATAGATTTATAGATCTAGATTAGAATCTAGATCTAGATCTATATCTAGATCTAGATCTAGATCTATATCAAGATCTAGCTAGATGTAGAGCTAGATCTAGATCTAGATCTAGATGTAGATTATAGATCTAAATCTAGATCTAGATTTTCTAGATCTAGATCTAGATCTAGATTCTAGATCTACAATCTAGAGTCAGCTAGTCTAGAGATCTACAACTAAATCTAGAGTCTAGTCTAGATCTAGAATCTAGATGTAGATCTAGATCTAGATCTAGATGTAGATCTAGAAATCCAGTATTGTAATTGTTGTTTTTATGTAATATGATCTTGAATCTAGATTAGATTCTACAGCTGCGTCTGTATTCAGACTTTGACTCTCTCACTAGATCTAGATCTAGAATCTAGTAGATTTTAAATTACGCATGCGTTTAAATTAAATCACACCAGCGTATTAACTAATATTATTAGGCCTCTATTATCGGCTGGTAAATTTATACTTTCACTCCCGCCCACTGATGCACTGCTTTGACGACTTTGAGGGTCGAACTGCAGTAATTTTCGCTTCAGATTACACATAGATCTATATATTATAGGCTGCTCTATTTCTCTGAACGTTTGGGAAAATAAACTTGAACTCTGTTTCTCTGAACGGTTCCCGTTCTCGAGGTTTGTTGATAATAAGCGAATGGAGTGGTCCGTGAGTGTGTCTGTGTGTGTGTGTGTGTGTGTGTGTGTGTGTGTGTCGGCGTGTGTGTCAGGTGTGAACGGATTTTAGTTTTTGCTGGGTGACTAAATGCAAATAGGTTACTGCCAAGGTCGATCAGTCTTGTTTTCTCGCAGTACCTATTGAAAGTATTTTCAAATGAAGTATAGTCCGGGAACGTTGCCCCAACCACAACTGAAGTATCTGAATATTCAGACATTAAAAAATTTCTAGCTCTAGAAACTGAATTCGATGCAAAAAATTCTTCTTCCCAGTCCTCGCAGAATGGCAGAATGAAAGGATGACGCCTAATACTCGCAAATAACAAAAAAATCTCAAGATCGGAAACCGTTCAGAGAAATAAGATTCAACTTTATTTTCCCGAACGTTCGGAGAAATAGTCACTTCCGTATATTATATTATAGGCCAGCTCTATTTGGACTCGAGTCCGAATATAATTTTCGAAGTGACTATATTTCTCCGAACGTTCGGGAAAATAAACTTGAGCTCTATTTCTCTTAACGGTTTCCGTTCTCAAGATTTTTTCGTTATTTGAGAGATTTCGGCATCATCTTTCATTCTGTCGTTCTGTGAGGACTGCATGAAACATTTTTGCATCGAATTCAATTTCTAGAGCTAGAGATTTTTTAAAGTCTGAATATTCAGATACCAATTGTGGTTGGGGCAATGTTCCCGGACTATACTTCATTTGAAAATGCCTTCAAAAGGTACTTCGAGAAAACAAGACTGCTCGACTTTGGCAGTAACCTATTTTGCATTTAGTCATCCATAAAGCAAAAACTAAAATCGTTCATTCATGTAAACAAAACAAATCCCTCCACGCCCCCGGTCACACCTGACACACACAAACACACACACACACACACACACACACACACACACATACACACATGAGGGCCACTCAATAAAAAAAATCCCGAGAACGGAAACCGTTCGGAGAAATGGAGTTCAAGTTTATTTTCCCTAACGTTCGGAGAAATAAAGCCGACCTATAATTTTCATCTATTCGGACTCAAGTCCGAATATCGGTTTTATCTAAACTCAGGTCGGAAAAAATGTTTTAATTTATTCGGACTCAGCTTCTAAGTGAGTTATGTGAGTGTAAGGAGATTACATAATATAATGAACAAGAACAGTGCTTTAAAAAACCTGAGCATGAGACGGTAGTGGAAGTAAAAGAATACCTAATATACTAACTCTATAAAGTAAAAATATTTTTGATAGCAGAATTTGGAGTCCACCAGAAATCCACTTAGATTCAAGCCTCAGGTTTTAACTGAAATATTACTGAAACAAAATCACTATGAACTGGACACAAATCATTTTGACTGCTCAGTGCAAGACTAGTATAGCAGTGGATTTGTTGAATGATCATGATGACTAATCCTGATTATAAATTTATGTAAATTTTTACTTTCACTTCCGCACACAGATGAACTGCTATCAGGGTCAAACTCAATAAGCTGTTGCAGAATTTTTTGCCACAGATCATAACATGTCTTTTATCTGAGCATGGGATGGTAATGAAAAAGTAAAATAGTACAAAATTTATTGTGATATTTTATAAAAGAGTAGTATGTACTCATTTTAATTCTATTGTTATAGTCATGAGGATAGAAAGTTAATTAGATTAGTTATAATAATGGTTATTTTGTAAGTTATTTACTCCTCCTGTCTTGCAAATTGAGTTCCACCTTCATAAAAAATAAAAATTTTATATCACCTACTGCTATTTCAGAATTCACATTCACTGAAAATTTTCAAGTCACTCCCCAAATGAAAAGAGACTTTGAGGAGGCTGGATACATCATTGTCAGGTAGCATTATCACTTTCTCAATACTGTGTTATGTCATTTTATATTGGTATCCTTCACAGCTAAGCTGTATCTCGCTTTTGCTTGTCATTAAACTTCAGTATCTGAGATACTGTACTGTGGTGTTTGCCATTACAGATGAAATCATCATGTTGAGTAGATCTGATGAATTGGTGACATGGAGAAGATTAATCTCTAAATATACAAATTGCAAAGAATTTTGATCACTCCCTTGCCTACTTTTTTCAGCAAGATCACCTTGTGAACTATTAAGAAGATTCTAAGTAAACTATCTGAGTTTGAGTTTGGACTTGTATGTTATAAAGCCCATTACTTCTTTGGTTTCTTTGTCGATTTTATGGTTATGTTATGTCAATTGTATCGACATGAAAATGTTTTCAAGTTTAAAAAAAGGAAGGTATAATTCAGTTTGAGTGATTTTTCTAAACTGTCTCCTATCTATGTGTACAAGAAAAAAATTGGTAATTTATTTATTTTGTGTATTTTACATTCACTCTTTTTTCTTCCTTTAAAAATTTTTTTTACAGTCGAACCTGCCTTAACGGAAACCTGTATAAAACGGAAACCTGTCTTAACGGAGTCTCCCTGCTCCCCCCTTGATATATTCCTCTTTAATTACCTGTATAAAACGGAAACCTGTCCAACACGGAAACAGAAAGACAAATCCGCTCCCTTCCGAGGATTTCACCTGTCTAAGACGGAAAATGCTTTGCCCGCTCAGCCCTGATTTGAAACAAAATTCGCAAGTTTGGTTCCGCTGGCTCTAAACTAACGCTATGGTCATGCGGCTGGGCGAGGAAGGGGAATAGGGGTGCAATTTGGGGGTAGATGTTACCCCATCATGTGAGCCCGCTGAGTGATGCAGATGGTCAGTGGAGTGTGGGTGTGAAATCTCACGACTGCCCGCGAGAGTGCTCGAGTAGCGAGCCACTACTACGGAAACTTTCCTGGGTAGCCAAAAGCCAGAGTTGTGAAATTAGACTGACCAATGCCTGCCGCCCTGATCGTACGGCCAGCCGAGAAAAGAGTTCCTTGAATTGTTGTTAGAATGATGGCAGTAAGGGGTGGCATTGGTGGGTGGGGCTTAGGATGGAAGCAAGGGAGATGTTCAAACGTTTCTGTTTTTAATAGGTCAAACAGTGGTCCTATGAAAGGCAAGCACTGGTGGTAATTGGATAAGTAAGACTGACGCATGTCATTATCAGACAGGATAGCAATTGAGAGGTGTAAAGTTTTGACCACTGCTTGCCGATTGGACAAGCGATCCTTGATCCCACTGGCTGGGCCTTTGAACCCCCCCCCCCCAACCTCCATCTCCCCCTAAATTCCCCTATCTATGTCGGAAAATGTCTAAGACGGAATTTTTTTCTGGCTCCCTTGCGATTTCGTCTTACTCAGGTTCGACTGTATTTTGATTTAAATTTACAGGCCTCTTTAAATGCTGACTGACTTTGGGACTGAAGACAAGGCTAATATCTTCTAGTATAAGTTGATATATTATTTCTTTTGCAATTTTAATTGAAAAATGTCAGTGTTGTTTGCAACAATTTAAAGGAGACAAAGTTAAATGGGTGTCAATCCACTTACAGCTTGCTGCTTTAATGTTGTCTACCGTTAGTCCTGTAACTGACCTATATCTACCTGACAGTCTACTATCAATCACTTCCACATTCCACATCCTGATGCAAGACTTTCAAGAAATCAAAGGGAGCAACAGAACCCCCCTTACACATACACACACATACACATGCACGCACAGCCCCAACCTTCCCCTGTCAAAACGTTTACGGTCCTTTTCAGAATCAAAATCATTTTTGATATGCCGAAGGACAGTCCCAAGCTTTTATATATATATATTTATATGCAAAGGGGAAATGTTTTTTTTGGTTTGGATTGTAGAAGACAAGTAGACTGTCAAGTTTGGTTTGTAGTAGATTACAATGTAGTAGACTGTTATAAAAGTGGAACAGTTGTCAGACTGGTCCAGTAGTAGTCAGTCAAGTAGAACAGAAAGATTTCAGTGGACCGCCAAGTGGCCTGGCACCGTTACGTGCACCACTTCATAGACAATTATTATCTTTGGCCCTACTTTATAGGCCTATTTGTTGAAATCTGGTTTGTGACTTTGTTTCCCCAGAGGTCTTTTGGACAGAGAAGAGTGGCTTAAAGTGAAGGAAGCTCTTGAGAGCACCGATGCTGTTGTGAAGAACTCATTTACAGTGGGTGTTTGTCTTCCTTATTGTTCATTCAGGTTGTTTATATGAAAATCAAAAGAAATTCCATGCTGATTTAGGCTGAGATATTGGCTGTAGCTGTGGTTATTGATAAAGACATGGAATTTGAAACTGTTCTTTTAAAAAACTGTTAAAATAAATTGCTTTTTCATATTTGAGCCGAGACATGATATCAGTTAAATAATTTAATGTCTAATTCCACAAATTTTATCTTTAAAAGAAACCAAAAAATGTTGATGTCTAATATTGGCACTTACTTTAGTATTTAATGAAGATAGTAAAAGAATTTTGTTTTAGATTTGAAATTTGGAGTCTAGACAAATGGATTTGATTTGAGTGTTGTAAACCTAACTGACTGAAAAAGATCCACTTACTGCCCTTTTGTGTGCTCTTTGGTTTAACTGAAGTCTTACAAGGTCAACGACGGTCCTTAATATGTTATCAGATCACTTGAGATAGGGACCATTATCTGTGTTGACCTGTAGTTTGATTTTTTGTTCAAAACGAAGTGGCCAGCTGTTTGAGTTTGTCATGTAGGCTACAAACACTCATCTATTTCTGGACTTTCAAAATGCTCCACACAACTTTACTGTTGCAGCCTGTACCTCACTTATCCCTTCTTGTATATTATACTCAAAATTTTTTAATATGAGGTTCATATCATATATGTACACACTTTAGCTCTCACTAAATTATATGTTTTTAAACAACAGGGGAGTCTTCTTACATGCTGTGATTTAACTCTTAAGAATGAAATAACTAGTATCCGAAAAGTAGTGCCAAATGCCTGACTTGTTGAAAATATTCATACTTTTACAAAATTACCTAATTTTGCATTGCTTAAATGACATTTTTGGGGGGTGAGAATGAGGAATCAAGCATACGTTAGTAATAGATATCAGAATAGATTGCATATTTCATGTGTACATGCCAGAAAGGAGGCTCTGTGTGCTTTACAATTCATTATTACCTCTCAAGAGGTTATAATGTTCAGAAACATTCTTAGCTTTCAGGGAAACGTCCAGTGCAAGCTACTATTTTGCTGGCAGTCAGATGCTGACATGCAGATAGGATCTTTCTCTGTCTATACCTGATATCCAATTTCACCTTGATGAAATGAGGAAAATTTGTATAAAGTGTCTTTCTCGAGGACACAGTATCATGTCCTGATCAGGATTTGAACTGGCTGCAACATGGTTGTGAGTTGGACAGTCAGAACACATAAAGGGAGGTGATATTATTCCTCGGAGAAGTATTAAGTGTCGGAGATACAGACTACTTTACCTTTCACTGTCATTTAAATACAGATGCTAATATCTTCTCAGTATTTTAACAGATTAGAGGGGCTGGCTCACCCATTCAGTGAGTGTAATGGTGGAGTAGTCTCAAAATCTTCAACAATTAGTAAACGCTCTCCGAGGAATAACATCACTACCCTTTACATGTTCTGGCTGGCACCTCTGATGGCTCCATTCCTTTTTTCACATTGTTGCTGAAGTGTTGAAATGTATTCATGAGTATATCGCTACATACAATCAAGGCTTGAATGCCACAGAGATTCTGCTGTATCATTCTACATGTTTTCGGTCCATGATAATGGCCTTATGGAAGAAGAGAAAAAGGATGCCCCTAAAAGCAGAACTGCGTTTCGGCAGACTGCCATTGTTGATCTACAAATATGTCTCTCTGAGGGGGGCTGTGAAAAGGGAATGTGCTCATGACTACTTATTGCATATTTCAGATCAATGACAGTGATGGCCGCAAGAGCCGATTGTGTTTGTGGAGTCACCCTGGCAATGATGTGACGGGGATGGTTGGGCGGTGCGAGAAAGTTGTCACCACTTCGGAGGAGGTAAGTTCTTTTCTGTATCCTATTCCTATTCTCTTTTTCTATTTCTTGATCCCATTTCTATGTTTTTCCCCTTATTTGTTTCTCTTTGTTTTATCTCTTCATATCACTCCATTTTCATGTACCTTCTTTCTCTTTCGTTGTCCTTCACTCTGTCTGTCTGTCTGTCTCTCTGTCTGTCTGTCTGTCTGTCTGTCTGTCTGTCTGTTTGTCTCTGTCTCTGTCTCTGTCTCTCTCTCTCTCTCTCTCTCTCTCTCTCTCTCTCTCTCTCTCTCTCTCTCTCTCTCTCTCTCTCTCACTCTCTCTTGACATATTTATTTTATTTATGATAGACCAGCTCAACTTTGAAGGATAAGCAAATTTTCTCTCAGATTGAAAAACATTTTCTTTCTATGTTTGTGAAAATGTCTCAAGGGGATAGTTAGAGAACGTTAGGAGTACGCCATTGGCCGATATTTATAGTAACAGCCATCTTGTTTGACCTATTCTTTAACATACATAATATATTGAGCATTATCATAACACTTTGCTAATATGAAAAAAAAAAGCTTTCTTTTTTTACTCCACATTTTTTTTTCCAGACCAGACAGTGAGACAGTAGGTCTGGAACTTCTTTTGTCTTTTGTCAGAATGAAAAACACTATTTTATGACGCACACAAGATGGCTGTTACTATAAATATCAGCCAATGTTCTGTAACTATCCACTTGTGAAAATGTCTGCAAGAAGGTAAACTGTGTTTTGTGTTCTCAGTTGTTAGGCGGAGAGGTCTATCACTATCACACAAAACTGATGATGAAGGAACCTTACACTGGCGGGGAGCATGTGTGGCACCAGGACTATGGGTCAGTATATTAACCCCTACTTATAAGACTGTGGGAACATTGAAGTTAAAACGTGGGTGGTTGGCGGGTGCTCTGGTGTGGTTTGCTCTTTCTTTCCTATCAAACATCTGTCGTCCTTTTCTCCCCTCCCTTTTCTTTTTTGTGTATGTTACTCTCTTGTAACACATGATCTATTCTTCGACACTTATATGACCTTATTGTGTTTGCAAGTGCAGTAAAACTTTTACTAAAACTCAACTTTCTCCCCTTTTTCTTCTATGTGTTTGTTACTCTCTTGTAACACCTCTAATCTTCGGCACTTGTATGACCTTATTGTTTTGCAAGTGCGGTAAAACACTTACAAAAATTTTTTTAAACGACGTTAAAACGCTAGTTTATAGTTTTGTGTCCATTTAGACAGGCTGCTCTCATGATTTTAAAGATTTGTATAATCGGTAACCAGTACAACTGTTCCAGGCCCAGAAAGAAACAAATCTTTCTTCAGGAGGGAGAAAAAAATGTTTCTTTCTTTTTAATATTGTGCCTACTTTATGTATCTTTTCTTACTTGGTTTTTTTTCTCCAACTTTTAGGTTTTAATTTTGCCCAAATATTTCTTGAGCTTGTGCTACTCAAACTGCAGATTAAGGAATTGCTATAAAATTTGTTTTTTAAGATTTTGGCTGAGTACATCTGAACAACTGGTCAACAATAGACTCTTTTAGATAACCTATTCTTTCCTGTTTATCTTTTCATTTTTTTGTCTTAGTCACTAAGGGTATGTACAGCTTTTAGGGACTCAAACAAAATCATTTACACTTTTCTGTCTCTGGAATTTCAAATTTAGTCCCTAGAAGAAGCTTCTAGCTAGTGGAATGAATACGAGGAATGAAATTTCTCAAACAAAAACAAAAAATATAGCTAAAGCCTGCTGCTCAGGTTTTAAAACAGGTTCTCGTATATTACACCCCCCTTTTGCTTTCTCTTGTACTGGAGTCAATTAAGTAAGTAAAAAAAAAGTTATCTAAACGTTTTTGTGATTTTTGTTTTTGTTTTTTACGTTTCACTTCTTGGATTTGGAAAGGATATAGCCCTCTTTAGCTCACTAAAGTTTGAAAATATTTTGGGATATGATCGTCCATTCTTTTCTCACTCTCCTCTCCATGGGTGGTTGGCGGGTGCACTGGTGTGGTTTACTTCTTCTTTCCTATCAAACATCTATCGTCCTTATCTCCCCTTCATCTTTTTTATGTTTGTTACTCTCTTGTAACAGCTCTAATCTTCTGGCGCTCATATGACCTCATGCAGTTGCGAGCACCGTAAAACCTCTACTAAAACTAAAAACTCTCCTCTCCGACCCATGCCTCAGCTACTGGTACAAGAATGGCTGCCTGTTTCCTGACATGTTGACTGTCTTCATTGCCATAGACAAGTGCTGGAAGGAAAACGGCTGCCTTCAGGTATGTGCGTGTGATTTGTTCCTTGACATTGATAGAGTAATATCCTTCTGAGTTACTTACCAAAACTTCGCATATTGGCATATGAATCAATGCTTTCATACTGGAGAGTACTTTTTCATGATTAGGGTGACACCTGTTTAGGCCTCCAACCTATCCTAAACCAGGTGGGGTTAGCGGGTGCTCTGGTGTGGTTAGCGGGTGCTCTGGTGTGGTTTGCTCCTTCTTTCCTATCAAACATCTATCATCCTGATCTCTCCTATTTTTTTTCTGTGTTTGTTACTCTGCTGTAACACCTTTAATTTTCGGCCCTTATATGTCCTTATTGTGTTGCAAGTGCTGTAAAACTCTTTAAAAAACTAAACAAAAACCAGGTGGTTGGAAGGTACCACTGATAGCTCTTGCTTCCTTTCTTTTGTGTTACTTTGCGTATGGAAAATGCATATCAACTCCGCATTGGAATCCACGGGGTAAAAGATCTAAGGGAAGACCATGTGGAACCTGGAGAAGAGTTACAGAAACAGATGTACAGAAAAGTGGGAAGACATGTAATAACTAACATCAAGAGGGTAGCCCGGGATAGGAAAAGGTGGAAAGGGTTTGTTCGTGGCCTATACCGTGATCGAGGGTGAGAACGGCAATGATGATGATGAATGCGTATATATCAATATCTGATAGAGAAAAAACTGTTTTATTCTTGTGACAACTGTACCTATTTTGTATATCTTGTCTTGCTTTATTTCAACATTTAGAATTTGAAATTCAACAAAATAATTCTCATACAACTGATACCACAGATTAAGAAACTGTAATTGCAATTTTTTTTCTCAAAATGTAGGGCTTTGTACATCTATACAGCTGGCCAACGATTTCTAATCGATCTGCTTCTAGATGGGTTTTTGTGAATCAGCTCATGCTCACTCCTCTCTCCTCAGATTCTTGAAGGCTCCCACAAGTGCGGTCGTATCGAACACCTGATGGTCGGTGGACAGACTGGGGCTGATTTGGATCGTGTCGGGGAACTCAAGAAAGTCCTTCCCCTGCGCTTTGTGGAACTGGAGAAAGGTATCGTCATGCTTGCTCACAAACTTATACTTTTCTTTATGTTTAACTTTTTAAAAAAAATTGTGTATGAGTTTTATGCAGTACAGGGGCATTTTGCAAGAAGCTCATATTCTATGCGGTTTTTGAGGGAGTGTTTTTTGCTTGTAAATAAAGACATGTGGAAAAGGAAGTGACACAGAGGTACTAGTGATGGATCAGGTCCCTTTTTAAAATGTGGATGACAAGTACAACCAGAAAGTGACTGAGATGAAATCTAAACGGTCAGAGAAATATATAGGAAGATGAATTACAACATTATGGAGAAAGGTTGAAAAATGTGGGAAAGACTTGGTCGCAACTAGAGAAAGGTGCTGTGGGAAATTACTGGTGGCATATGTTGGAGGGAAAATACTGATGGCATATATGTTCCTTAGGGAGTTAAAAGTCAAGTGAGAGGATGTTTTGCTAAACTGGACAGATGGCATTAAGAGAGAAAAAGAGAGAGAGAGAGAGAGTTGAACAGATAACAGAATGTGGAGAAAAGATGTGGGTGGTTGGCAGGTGTTTTGGTATGGGCTGCTTTTTTTTAATCTATCAAACATCTATCATCCTTATCTCTCCTCCTCCTTTTCTTGTGTTTGTTACTCTCTCGTAATAGCTCTAATAATCTTCAGGACTTATACAACCTGCTTGTGTTGCAAGTGCCATAAAACGCTCACTAAAACAAACAGGGAGGAAAAATGCCAGTGTTATGCCAGAGATTGTAGCAAATGAGTGACTCCAACAATTCAGCTTGAGAGTTGCACCTTTTGTGAACCCCTCAAGGGTAGCTTTCAGTGACGTCTGGATTTGACCTTCTGTTCTGTTTCTCTCACTTCGTTTTAAAATGCTGAAGACGTTCAAGCTTCATTCGTTACAGTTAGACTGATCACTCAGAAATTGAAAGAGTAAACATGGGAAAGGAAGTCACTATTTGTTTGTCACTGACAGAAAGTTTTTATGTATTGGGGTGAGAACAGATTTATTGCTTGATCAACTGAAAAACTTTGAATGAAGTTTAAGTTTGCTGTCAATATTTTTCCATTGTTTAAGTTGGCCGACCAAGGAGAAAAGTGGCCATCTTAGACAGGCGGCCATCTAACAAAATTTTATTATAATATATTAAAAAATGCAGAGGGGAGGGGGGGGGGTCAGAAGAGGCTGTTGGTACAGATAATTGTCTCACACTACAAACTATACAGGTTGCTGTTAGAGCAGGTTTGGCTGTAAGTTCTAATCTTGGTGTGGTGTCATTTCTGAGTTCAAGTTCTCCACCTTCTTTGTCCCTTTTAGTATCTTGCGGTGTGGTTCATTTTGTATGAGGTGCTGAATGATGGAGTGGTTGGGTCTGGTTCAGATCAGTGACTGGGTATTCTTGAACTATTATTATTTTGTTGAGTTTTCAAGGCTCTCAACCCATTTGGCCTGGTCACAGTGGAGATGGATCTTAAATTTGGAGGTCCCGCCTCTTAAAATTGCCTAACAGTGTTGAACAGGTTGTTAAACCCATACACTACTTTACTTTTTTTTAAAATTTTTGTTAATAACGTCTTTTAGTGGGTGATTGGCGGGTGCTCTGGTGTGGTTTGGTCCTTCTTTCCTAGAAAAAATCTATCGTCTTTATCTCCCCTCCTTCTTTTTTGTGTTTGTTACTCTCTTGTAACACTTCTAATCTTCTGGCGCTCATATGACCTTATGCAGTTGAGAGTGCCGTTAAACCTCTACTAAAACTAAACTAACTTCTTTTCTCTGGGCTAGTAGAGTAATGTATGAACAGTGTTTTAAAAACATGATATCTATTTGTAAATTGTTGTGGTATAAAAACACATGATATGACTATGAACACAATTTTTGAGGCCATAGTTTGCAGTACCGCTCAGTGGGAGCTGTTTTTGACATGTGTGAAGATAAAGTTACTTTGACCTGAAATGTCTGTTGAATGCTGATGAGAGTGACTGTCGTTTTTGACTGTGCATTGTTGTCAACGAAGCCTTTGTTTTTGAGAAATATAGGGCTTAAAATTAATAATTGGGCTTTTGTGTAGTGAAACGACTCTTTAAAAGCATCATACTTTTTCTAGCAGGAGCATGCTATTCAGTTGTTCTGTCTAGGGTTAAAAGTTAATTGTGTAATTATCATTGTTGGGAATCCAGCTTTCATTCTTTACTTACCACTGGGCCCTTTGCACAAAGGTTGAAAACTTGAACTTTAAAAAAAAAATTTAATTTAATAAAAAATGAATGTTTAAAGAAAGGTCTGCATTATTAATAGCTCAAATCGTAAAGTGGAAAAGCAAAAAACAGTGGCAAGGAAAATATTGGGGAACAGGAAAAGAGAGGTTTTTTTACAATTAAATCATGTTGTGCTATCAATCAAACCATTTTTGATAATATCCAGAACTTATAGCTCTCAGAAATACCTCAAAATAGTAGGGTCACACGAAGAAGGCTGCTTGTCAGCGTGATCACTACTAGTTGACCTCTCTAAGTTCAATAAGCAGAGATAATATACAGCTTCTGAGTGGTCAAAGTCCCCCTACAGATAACAGAAGTAATGAAAAGTAGCACTCTGATGTGAAAGGATGTTGATGCTTAAACATAACAGTTCAAGTTTTCACTCATTGAATATGAGTTTGCTGCTTCAATGAGTAAATCAGTCAGTTCAAAGTTCTAATTAACGCTGAAATTCATGAGCTCTACCCTAACCTGTTTTCTGCTCCTCCAAGCATGTCTCTCTATGACAATTGCATGAGTACTATACAAAGATTTGTGTAATTGAGTATATTCTTTTATTCATTTTTTAATCTTTATTGCCCTTTACTGTATAGCAGGTTTGTGTAACTGCCTCTGCTGGTGGAAACAAACCAAAACAAAACAGGATGTACACTGATTTCCTTGAAAGTAATAATTTGGAGTGTACATGGTTTGCAACTGTTAACATCGATCTATGTCTGAATTGTTAAGCTCTTTTCTTTCAGATAAGTCTTGACCTCTCTCTTCCATTGACTGTGATCTGCTCAATTTTCCGGATAAATCCATAAATCCGAAGTTCTGAAATTGTCCAGATTTTACCTGACTTCTTCATCCAAGATGTATTTGGCAGTATATTCTATGAATTTTTAAACCTTTTGCACATGTTTCCTCGGGTCCTAAAAGTTGAGCCTTTTTTTTTATTGTAGCCATTAAATTAGCACTTCTGCTTGCCTTCTATTCCCAGTTTACCTTGTTGAAATCAAGCATTGAAAAAAAGAAACATTTCACCATGAATTTTTCTTAATCAGGTCCTGGTATTTTGGTTTTCTCCAGGCGATGCCTTGTTCTTCCACTCCAACTTACTGCACACCAGCGCCCCCAACCAGAGTCCCCACCGCCGCTGGGCCTTCCTGTGTGCCTACAACCGCGCCAGCAACAACCCCGTCATCGAGCATCACCACCCTCAGTACACGCCGCTGGTCAAGGTAAGGGGAAGTCAGACCTTCTTCTTCTTTTTCTCGATCTCATCGCACCTGGAGTCTGGTATCAGTCATATACTGGACCATCCTGCTCAGTTCATATGTTTGCCCTAACAGCTTCCCCTGAATGTAAACCTTATTGTCACCAATGTATTTTGTCAAAGAAGTCATGAGTTTACATTTTGCAACCTCAGTGACTGCTTCTTATGCTCACTCTTTGTTATGAACTGTTTTCACTGTTTAAAAAAATGAAGGTACGACAAGAAAGCACTCAAGTCGCGATTTCTGGGTGCTCATTCATGCTATGTTTTTAATTAAAAACATTTTTCTAATCAGTGTGGACAGACTTTTATGGTGTAGCAGTTAAGTGCTTTGCCGTCGCACACAGAAAACTTTTGTACAAAACCAGAGCAAAGCTTTTGTATGGTGCCCTTGACACTTGCACAATATTTTCTTTGACTTGTGTTTGATTCCCATGTGGGTAAATTTTTATAGAGTATCTCAAATTTTCTGCTAGACGTTGTATCCCGCCCAGCCTAGGTTGGCCCTGACAGGCAGGTTCAAAACATTTCTTTTTAAAAAAGGATGTAAGTTCTGTCAATGGAGATGTTAAAACATCTACATTTGAAATTTAAAATCAGTCTGGTGTGTTTTTGCTATACATGCAAATATGTGTATGCTCACTTACTGGACTGTTGAAACTGTGGGAGATGTGTCTGGTAAGTAAGGGTCCAGGGAACAGTACCGGTAAGCCAAGTAATTTGGAAGCAACAACATTCCTACCCTTTTTTTTTTACTAAGCACTGCCTGCTTACAAATAAGCATGCTTGCCCTCTGATAGGCATGTTTAGAAGAAGGGGTGAGATACTGTAACTGTTACACCCAGTGGTTTCTAATGAAGGATAAGGAAACGGGGGGAAGGGGATTGGTGTCGAAGTGGAGAGGCTCAGTATTGTTTTAATGTTTAGGTTAGGATCTGGTAGAATCTATCCTGTGTATGCACACTTACAAATTACTACAGAATGCCAAAGCAGGCATTTGAGCTCTATATCGAAATGGGAAAGTCAGTAATTTTGTGGTTTTTCAACTTGTTCAAGAGTCTGTTTCTCTTGCATGGCAACCCCCCCCCCCCCCCAACTTTTATTTTCCCTTAGACTTCAGGATCACCTAAAGCATGATAGATTTCAACTGAAAACAGTAAGTGGTAATCAGGAAGCTAACTAGTAGGAACTGGGTGATCTCCCTTGAAAACTGCCAAAAAGTGAAGTCTGCGTATGAACCTACTTTTTTTTTCTCCGAATGACAGGGTTCTTTGGTGGAGACCACTGTACTGTTATCCTAATATGTTCCTGGTGAAATGTGGATGTTGTCATGTTGACTAGCTGAAGATTATTACTCGTTCCTATTTCAGGTGCCGAATTCAGCTATCCGAGAGTGTACGAACCTGACGGATGTTTCTGGCAAAGATTTTTTGGACCCCTCAAATGACAAGACCCTTCGCATTGACAAGAAGGATGAATAAACCTCTAGTGTAAGTTTGAATCTAAGCCGTGTACAGGAATTCATTTGAGCTTGTGATTTACAGTGATTATATAAGGGTTGTACACTTGGTCTCCTGTCCAAAAGAAATCCAGTTCAATTTATTCTTACTAGTCTAGAGGTCTTGCTAATGGTTCTTTCTAAATAATGCTGTTTTTACTTTACATGATAATAGGCATTGGTTTTGCACTGTGCTCTTGAAATATATGGAAGGGTTATGGAGCAAATCTAAATAAAGCCATGGAAGCTTCAAATCTTGCTGGAAATTGGTGCTGTCACATTATGTGACAAATGAAGCATATCATATTCAAGTTGGTTTTTTTGTTTTTTAACCCCCCGTTAATGAGTCCAGCATCTAGAAAATGATGCTTGCTTATCTGACAATACCACACAGGTCTTCCTAGTGATCAAACTCACCACTGAATTTATTTATGGGATAGATCTAGATAATTGTAAGAAATGAAAGGGTCTTTTTTTTTACTGAGTTAATATGGAGATGCCACATTTTAGAAAAGAATGATAGAAGTCATATGTATAAATTTGATGTCTGAAGGATGTATTGTAACCGGGAAAAAATCAAATAACTCTAATGTAACTGCCTGGGGATCCTCTCAATATTTCCTTTTTTTCTTTTTCCCCCTTTGTCCAAGTTAGTCATCTCTCTCACAATAAGTATCCACACCAGATGTTTTCCACTGCTGTTGTTCCTCTCTTATCCCAATTGTACAACCCTCTACTTGATTTACACAAAAGGGCAATGAGGTATTATATAGTCCTAATATGCAATAAATATGTGCACAAAAGTACAATGCTATTGATGTTGCATGCAACCCTCTGATTGTCTTGAATAATGATTTCTATAAATGATTGTTAATGATTCATGTGACTGGGGTTTGTTTTTACATGCAATTTGTTGTATTTGAGAAGTAAAATGACTTTTGGTTGTTGCATTTTTTTTTTTTTTGGTGCTGAAAAGGATAGTACATTTCTATTGTTGTTGATTAAGGAATTCTTAGGAAATGAATGCTGGTCAATTGCTTCCTTACTGTTGATTTCAGTATCTAAAGAATTGTACACAGGAGGCCAGTTCAGAATAAAACCTGTATGATGGATTATTCGTCCCGACAAATGCTTGGATTTTTTCGACACCTTACCCCAAATTTGTGAAGACAAAAACCTAAAAAACAAGGGGCAAAACTGTGTTCCTCTTAACATTTGGTAATGAAATATGTTGACTATTGATAATAAGTTACATCATGTTAAAAACTGAAACGTAATCAGAAATGTGTTTTGTTTTTACTTGTTATTTGCTTGTGCATAGTCAGCGTGAATAGAAGATTGCTTTGCTTTGTTGATTTTGTTGATTATACATATAAACCAAAAGTAGTCAGTATTTGTGACAAAACATGTCTATGTTTAATGCATGTTCCACAATAAATAAAAAAAATTTTTAGAAGAAAAAAAGATATTTGTTAAATTTCTACATGTTATTATACATAATCTAAATTGTATAAAAATACATTGCTTGTTTTCATAAAATGTAAAGTCTTCATGAATCAGCTTTACCTTCAAACATTTTTTCCAGTCATATTTATCTGATTAGTAGCTTGTTGCCTATATTATAGGTATTTAAATATAGTCGAACCTGATCTAATGGCTACCTGTCCAAGACAACCACCTGTATTTTAAAAAAACACTTCCTACTTCCTCCATTGTGTTTTCTTTTAAATGTCGTAATGACACTATCCAAAGTGCCCATCTGTCTTTGACAACCGTTTTTTTCTCCACGACAATGGGTGGCAGTCTTGGACAGATTCGACTATCTGTTTTTTTTGGAAGCTTTGATACAATTGCACATTTTTCCTTCCCAGATAAAAAAAAAAAAGATATTGTTTATCAGATGTCAGCCAAATACAGCCCACCATTCAAATTATATTTAACACAAATTCAAGATAACATATATTCTTCTTCCTTGTTACTTAAAAATTTATTTTTTAGTAAAGCTTGCACTATATAACGTGACCTACTGAGTCATTCAGTGTCTTTAGCTACTTGTGTGTATTGTTTCAATTTCTGTGATGGGAGAATGCTATAATAGCTTTGAATCATGAAGAACTTTTTAAACATTGTTCATTGTTGTTTAACCATCTGGTACGAAGTTCCTGGGGCCCATATAATGATTGTTTTTGTTTTTTCATTGTTGTTTTTACATGTATTATTACTATTTAGTATTATCATTGGCACATATAAGTATCAATAACATTAACTGTCTTATCTCCTTTCTTTCTTTTTTATCTTTCTTTTTGTTTAGCTTATTTGTAACCAGAATTGTGCTGGTTTTTCCCTCCCCTGCATTCTTTATGCACAAAAGTCCTCTACTTGAAATACAAATTATGAAAATGACCACATCCTTTGTTTTGATATGCTTTATATTTATTGTATTTTGTTGCTTTTATAATTATGTCTGAGAACCTGCCACACCCCACTAAACTCTCATGGCTATACTGAATTCACAAGAACTCCCTTTGCCAACCCATTGTGTGACTGTTCTATTTGACATTTTTGGCCGTTTTGAGTTACTTAGACCATGGGGTCAGAAACCAAATGTCCTATCTGCTCTATCAAAATCGTAATGTTATTCGGAGTCATTGTCAAGATATTTAAAGAATTTCATTCGTAAAAGCTTGACATTTTGTGAAACTCAAAATTTTAAACATGAAATTTTTCAAAACTAGGTAATAAGCAGGTAGAACTTTGTAATTCTTGGGTAGCGAGCTATAGGTAGTTATACTGATCAATTACAGATGCAAGGGGGAAGAGTGTTAGGTTACTTATAAATGTTGAGTGTTCATTCATCATTGTTTATGTTTAACGCTGCTAGCTTTCCCCACTGTAAAGTTATTAAGTGGCGGGACCTCTGAATTTAACGACCATCTACCGTAGGCCGCGCCAGATGGGTGGAAAGCCTGTTTTGTGGGAAACCTTCAAAACTCCCCAAAACCACCTAAATTCAGAACGTCGCAATGGGGATTCAAACCTGAGCCATCCGCTCCGTAGTCTGGAATAATACCAGCAGTGCAAGCAGGACGCCCCATGTCCAGTAGGCCTACTTACTTCTGAAATGAAAACAACGCAGCTTTGATTAATCATTGATGCT